AATTAAAATCAGATGAATCAAATTGTTAAAAATTAAATTAATTAAAATTAAATAACAAAGTAAGATAATATAAATTAAAATAAAATAAATAAAATAAACTAAGTTAAAATATAATATCGTCTTAATTCACACATTTTTAACTCCCCCGTTTTGGCAACCACTCCAGGAAATAAATGAATTCAGGAACTTATATAAAATGCATATAAAACTGAGTGAGTATGTAATGAATATTAATGAACCAAAAGAAAACGTGTCCTATCAAGTAGTTAATTCAAAAAACGTTCTAAGTTTAATTTGATAACCACGACAGAAGAGTTGACAGAGAATACGGAAACTATTTTTTCCCACATAAACAATTAATTTATACACATGCGTATCGAATCTAATTCCATAGAAAAATAAAATTACAAAAAATAGTGGGAATTTGTTTTAAGTCTGAGCTTAAAAAAGAAGTGCGCAAAGCAAGATGCCGCCAATTGAATAATAAGTAAGCGCCACAATAATCGCTTCGAACGTGGTTGATTACGTGAAAAAGGTGTGACATGAAAATTAAAATAGAATAAAATACCTGAGTGAGTAGCGCACGCGACTATGATTTGTATGGTGTTATCAATCAAAACCTTGAACAGGGCGACTGGCAGAACTAACAAATAAACACAAAGAAGTCAGAAAGTTCAACGTCACAGCGTAAAAGTAACCATTATAAGTACCTTAGAATTTCCCGGCTTGCAATTGAAGATCTTCATAGTTATAGGCCATATTGGAAGCTAGTAAAGCGAAGAGCACAATTAAATAACCAACCAGAAATCATGGCCTAGAACTAAGCTACAGGACAGAGAGCAGAAAGAAGCCGGGTTATAGCAGAAGATCTTATACTATATAGAATATAGGTTAGAGGGCAGAAATCAAGCAATGCACTCAGAGAAACTGAAAGGTTATGAATCATAGATAAATTGGGAATTTAGGCGATCAGAGCTATGAGGGTGTGACACTTTTCCCTGGATGAGTGACTGAGACCATTTCCATTGCAACACGGCGATCCCCTTAGAGGACAAATACTGGGACACGCTGAGGGCGGTGTGGCACGGCGCGTTGTCGTGATGAAGGATGTAGTTACGAGCGATGTCTGGGCGTACCCTGTTGACTCGTTATCGCAATCTTTCGAGTACTATGCGAAGTAAACTTGGTTTACGGCTTGCCCCGGTCTAAGTAATTTTTAGTGGACGATTCCACGTCTATCAAAAAAGGCAATAATCATCGTTTTTGCCTTCGACTTGCTTATGCGAGCTTTTTTCGGGCAGAGGGCCTGCAGAAACAACCATTGTGAGCTTTGGCGTGTGGTCTCCAGGTCATATTAAAAAAAACAGCTCTCTTAGCCTATAATAGCTCGATCAAGTAGCGTGGGAACGTTTTCGACTTGTTTCCAAACAGTTGCTCTTGATTTCGTTCATCCATTTTCGTGACGAGTACCACGATTACTCAACACGACACAGCAGGCAAATTAAACAAGCTACAGCGATGGCAAATACAACAATGGCGATGAGAAGGATGCCGGGAGAAGTGAAAGGGAATTTCAAAATCGCAGGGTTACCACAATCGCGGCAATATAATCACTTTATTGTCACACCTCGTAATTAGGACGAGAGTATAGCAAACCAAAGATCAGAGTTTAGAAGGTACAAACATAAAATAGCAAAGAAATAAGAAAAAGAGAGAAAAAGTGAGCAGCAAAATAAGTAAGAAATTGGGGGTAGGTGTTTAAAAACCTTTCCGCGACATGGCATGCCTGTCGTGAGAGGTGACTAAAAGTTGGAAGTTCCCGCGACAGTTGGCTCATAAACCCGTCACTCCCGCAACATTCTCCAAAAAGAATTATTTTGTGATTACAACGACAACAACACGATTTTCACTTATTCCTTAGGCATAAGTGAAGGCCATAGAGAAGTGCTATGAAAAAGAATTTTCCAGGAATTGCTAATTTTAATAATTTTTTTAATTTTAACAAATTTATTAAGCTAAAGATATCATTTTTGAGCATGATAGTAGATTTTTCGTTGGTAAAAATAAACAATTTTTTTTTAACATAAGCTCAACAATTACATATGTATGCATGTATTCACCAACACTAGATTCTCACCCGCTTTGCTTGTTGGCTTGCAGCAACGGAAGACACTTGTAAATTATTACTAAACTTTTCCTCAAAAGCTTAAGAGCTTAGCTAATGTTAAACGTGAAAAAACATGCACAAAATAATTATGTACAAGCACCAAATCTATAGCATAACACACATATCTATATAAGTAAACAAGCAATTATAGTTGTAAACAAATAATTTTACACAAAAACAAAACCGTATAAAAATGAAAAGAAAAAAAATATATATTACAACGTCACTTGTGGGTCAAACCATGCATTTGCATTCGAAATCCATTCAGTCTGCCGCGAGCTAACGACGTTTTGTTTACAAATGAGCACGTACTCGTAACAATGACAATGATAAAAGCGCAGCAACAATTAAAACAACAACCGGCTATTTGCTTCCGTTTGCCAAAGACGAAATGTGAAATATGTATTGTTGTGCATTGACGTCACTCGTCGGTCGGCGAAGAGCGATGAGCGAATGAATGAGTAGCGAGTAACTGAGCACACGTTCGTTGCTCAAGTCTTTTCTTTTCGTAATAAAGATATTTCGCTTTTTTGTACATTTTTTTTTTTGCTTTTCGTTGTGTTTACTTGATTTTACTGATAAATTATTTATTTTCATTTGCTAATTTTTGCTTTTCATATAAATTTTTGTATATTTTTGCTTCACTACAGCCGCTGCTACAATTGATTTACCACAATTTTAATATGCAAAAGCAAAACAAAAACAGCTGATCTGCCATGTGGTGTGCTCGTTGCTGCTTGTGCTCGCGTAAATTGCTGTTTAGTTTATTCTGTATTTATTTATTTTTTGCTTTATATTATTTTGTTGATTTTTTTTGCACTTATTTTGCTAAAGCCCAGCTTGGTACATAGTACATCTTCGTTTGGGGTAAGTTTAGTTTGGATTTTCATTCGTACGGAACTGGTTGCATAACAAGCGCGCCGCGCAGCGTGATTGACGGAAAGGATTAATTAAGAAACGACGTATAAAGTTTTATTAAAAAAAAAGAAGGTTGAAAAGAAAATTGTTTTAGTGAGTTTAATCAAAAGTTTATATGTGTTGTGGTATAAACTAAAAGTGAAAAGAGGTTTGAAAATAAAAAAGTAATAATTTTAAAATAAAGAAAAAAACTTTATACTTCACAAAACAATTTTTTTTGCATGAAAACTTTTATTATTTAATTTTAAATTATTGTAAAATATATAAATAATATAGACTGTTATAGCCGAATAAAAGCGGCGGTAATAATATACTATAAAATTAAATAATGAGCGGAAAATTGGAAAATTAAAAACTAAAGCTTTAACAATAATCGCTAAAGGTTATTAAAAATTCATACAATACATACTACGTTTACTAAGGAAAATTGATAAAATATTATCTAAAGAAAAAGTTAAAATACATTTGGAAAAAATTATCAATAAAACTTTAATAATATTTACTAAAAAATTTTAAGTTATATCTTTTACTGAAGAAAGTTAAAAATATATCTCGGAAAAAATTTTAATTAGAACCTACTAATATATAGATGTTATTAAAATATATTTAAAAAAAAGTTAAGAACACATTTAATAAAATATAATTTAATTAATAAATGTCTATTTAAAAATTGATAAAAATATATCTGACAAAAAAAATTAAAAATATATTTAGAAAAAAATATGAATTAAACTTACACGTATATGTACAATAAAAAATTGATAAAAATCTATCTGACGAAAAAGTCAAAAATGTGTTCGAATAAAATTTAAGTAAAACTTATAAAATATGTTGGTATTAAAAAAATTTATTAAAATATATCTTAAGAAAAAGTTAAAAATATTAAAAAAAATATATAAATATTTTAATATATTATATATTATGTTTGAAACTTTCACAAAACATTCGTTGAAATTAAACGCATTTTTTTTTTAATGAAAATATAAAAAAATTGAAGTTAAGCTTGGGTCAAGTAAATGATAAATAATTAAAGCAATCAACGGCAAATATGATTATATTAAAAATCCTATTTTTTTCATTTGAAATACAAAAGTCATGAAAATTGTATAGAATTTTTTGAAAAATGGTTTACGAATTATTCATTTTAATTAATTTTTTTTATTAAATATCGTATGAACTATAATTTATATTATTGAGCAGTGCATAATTTCGGTAACCGTGATTTATATCATACTAAATTTAATAATTAAAATATAGCTCATGTTTTTTATTAACGGTTTTTAAAGAATTCTTAAAAATTTTTGTATTTAAAAACTTTCAGGAAGCTTTAAGAGATTAAAAAAATAAAAAGTTAGGATTAAATAACAATAATTTCAGCTCAGCAAACTAAAAAACAATCTAAAATATATAGTTGCAGAAAAATTGTTTTATTAAAAAGTTGTTGAAAATAAAATCAAAAATAACTATTATATGTATTTATCCCTCAATTATTAATTATTGTATGTATTTATCTCTCAATATTTATTTAAAAACTCTTTGCAGAGAAAAAGTGAAACAAAAATTTAAACACACTTTGTTAAAGAAAACATACTAGATTTAAAAAAAAAAAAATAAGCTTTTGTTAAATTTTCAAGAAATTATTTCAAGTATATTTTTTCAATAAAAAAGTAAAAAAAAAAAACTAAAACAAATAAAAAACAATATTTTATTTTCGACAAAAAAGGTTGCTAAAAATATACTTACAGTTTTACAAGCAAAGAGTGGAATATTCAAATAAACTTTGCTATTGTGATTTATTTGAAAACTTTTTAGAACTATTAATTATGCTAATTGCTGTCATTTTACAACAACAGTAACTAGCAACTTATACAATGATTATCTTTTAATAGTTAAAAGTGGCAAAAAATATATGTATAAAAACTCACAACACAGAAGAATAAACAAATTAAGGAATTAAATAAAAAAAACAACAACAAATAAATAAAATTCTTGGTACATAATTTGACCTTCACCAAAATAACAAAAATGCTTCCTGCTGCTTCAACATTATGTGGAATATTCTCGATATTAATAGGTGAGTACCGATAGTTGGAAAACTAAAAGGTTTGTGCTTTGCTTTTGGTCAAAAGAATCACCAAATTCAATAAAAGAAGTTAAAAATTCAAAATATACACATTATCACTTTCAGTAACAAAAATTAAAAAAAAAATTAATACGGAATCAAAATAACAAATATTAAATTTATAGCTGTTTTGCCAAATATTTCCTGGCTTCAATAATGCTTATTATGAATTATAAATAATTATAATTATTTGCATAATTATCTGTTAAGAACAATTTGTAAATAGTATCAGGAATTATACTGGAAACTAGTGCACAAAAGAAAAAGTAAAAAATTAAGACTAAAATTAAAAAAAAATTAAAACGAATAAAAAATAAAAGCTAAAAATATACTAGAAATTAAAAAAAAAGAAATTAAAAGAATTAAATAAAAAGTTAAAAAATGATTCAATTAAGAATGAGGAAATATTAACATATTTTTTTCTCTTCTTCTTATTTTAGTTTTTCAAACTTTGAGTACAGATGTGTATGTTTGTACGTATTACAATTTTTTTGTATTTTTTTAAGCCACTAAAGTTCTTTAAATTATTACAATGAAACAATATACATATAAACCGGTTATTTATTTTGCATTAACTTAATACGAGCCGTTTGTTATTAAGCATAAATTATAATTAAACTCATTATCATATAGAAGATTCTTGAAAAAATTTAAACACAGAGAAAAAGTACGCAAATAAAAAATTATATAAATATAGAAAAAATAAATAAATAAATGTAAAAATATACAGATGTTTTTACTAAATTAATTTATATATATAAACAACTAATAAGTAAGTACGTAAATATAATTGTATAAATAAAAAAATAAGAAAATAACCAAAAAAATAAATATCAAATAAATGAATACACAAATAAAATAATATAGTAAATAAATAAAAACATAAAGAAATAAGTAAAAAATAAACAAATAAATAAAAAAAACTAAATAATAAATAAATAACCAAATAAATGAATAAATAAAAAATAAATAAATGAGTAAGTAAATAATTAAATAAGTAAGAAAATAAGTAAATGCATAAAGTAAAAAAAAAAATAACTAAAAAATTAAAAAAAAAAATAACTAAACAAGTAAATAAATAAATAACGAAATAAATAAATAAATAAAAAGCAAAGAAACAATTAAATAAGTAAGTAAATAAATAAAATAAATAAATAAATAACTAAGTAAATAAATAAATAAAAACTAAATAAATAAAAAAATAATAACTAAACAAGTAAAGGTGAAAACCAAATGAATGAATAAATAAAATATAAATAATGAGTAAATAAATAATTAAATAATTAAGTAAATAAGTGAATGAATAAAATATGTAAATATATTTTAATTAAATAAAAAATTAATAAATAAATAAATAGCTTAGCAAATAAATAAAAACATAAACGAATAAATAAAAAATTAATAAATAATTAAATAGGTAAATAAATAAGTGAACGAAAAAAATATATTTTTATTAAATAAAAACTAAATAAATAAATAACTAAACAAGTAAATTAATAAATAACTAAATAAATGAATAAATAAGAAATAAATAAATAATTAAATAAGTAAGTAAATAAGTGAACGAATAAAATAAATAAATATATTTTTATTAAATAAAAAATAAATAATTAAATAATAACTAAACAAGTAAATAAATAAAATACCAAATAAATGAATATATAAAATATAAATTTTGAGTAAATTAATAAAGAAATAAGTAAATAAATAAGTGAATAAATAAAATAAATAAATAAATATATGAAATAAATATGTTTTATTAAAAAATTAAAATAAAATATTTCTATTAAAAATCAACTTATGTAAATGCAACAATAAAATTTAAATAGGTATTATTTGAAATTGATAATTTTTAATAAAAAAAAATTACAAACAAAAATTAAACAAAGAGAATAGAATATTGATAATTTGAAGAAAAAAATTGCAATAAAACCGTTTATTCAAATTATTAACGGAGGAAAATATAGCAAAACGTCTTTATTGAAAAAATAAATACTAAAAAAATATTTTTATTAAAAAATTTAGGCAAAGCAAGTTCAATTTTTATGATAAAATTTTAAATATAAATATATTATTTGGAAAATTTACAAAATATACAATATATAAAATATAAAAAAAATATAAAATATTTTTCTTAAAAGTTCTTTATAAAAGAAATTAACAAAAGAGAATATAATAATAAAATTTTATTAGAATTACACTTTATTAGTTGATAAAATATATAACAAATTGCTATAAGAAATGTATATTAAAGTTATTAACCAAAGAAAAAGCGCAGTAAAAAAAAATAAATTAAAAAAATATTCTATACATTTGAGAAATTTGTAAAAATTTTAATAAATAATTTCGTTAAAAAAACTTTAACTACAGACATAAATTTAAATGTATATGTATCATTTGGAACAATAAGAAGTATTGCAATTACCATAGAATATTTTTATTAAAAATCAACCAAAGCCAATCAATTAAAAAGTCTAAGATACAAAAATAATTATAATCTTTAACTATATATATGTGTATAATTTGAAATATTATATTATTTTTATTAAAAAATTAACGTAAGAAAAAACAATGATAAAATATAAATGAAAAAATAAAAAATTGTTAAAAAATCACATTAATGGAGAAGAATAAAATAGAAAAACTAGCAAACATATTTTTGGTCTCTATGTACATATATATATTGTATATATGTAGTTGAATACCTTCATCGAAAGTGTAAAGTTTATAGCAAACAAATCATAAATAAATACTTTGACTAGCTGCTAAAACAAAAACAATAAAATACAAAACAAAACTATTCACGATCAGTTTTTAGCCAAAAGGTAAATAAGTTGGAAACAAAGAACGCATTTATACAAATATATGTATGTACGTAATAGAGTAGGCATCTTGTACAATTAAAAAATATAAAACAACAATACTTTTAAATATATGTATGTGTATTGAAAAAACTGCGTGTTCGTTTTTAGCACAAACTAGCTAATTACACACGCTAAAGGAGCGTTAATTTATGACGTTTATATATTTAGATATTAAGGCCTGCTTTTTAATTATCGCGAAAGATGACCACAAACAATTTAGTGTTTTTTTTTTAATATAAATATATATAGTGTCGATTTAAATTCTCTGTTTCAAATAAAATTAAAAAAAATACACCAGAAAAACTTTTCTAAAATAGACAAACTTAAATATAATTTGAAATGTAAACAAGAGCAAATGAGAGCGAAGTTTTAATAAGACTTTTTCGAAACAGCGGAAGAACTATTTTGGTTGAACTGATTATAAAATTATGCTTGGCATTGAAAAGTTCACCAGCCCAATAAATTGATACTATTTAAGTTTGCAATTACTACAATTCCACAGGTAAACTCATAGGCTTATAGATAAAAAATCAATACCATTAATAATAACAGAAAATGGTTGGTACTAAACAAAAAAAAAAAAAAAAAAAAAAAATTTTTAAACATCAAAAATAACAAACACAAGGGTGCAAAGTTAAATAAACTGTAAAAACATATTTTGATTTACTAGCAGACACAATTCATAGCTTTTTTGTTGTTTTCATTTTTGGCAACAATTCGCTAACAATATTTTTGTCTGCTAGTATTTATTGTTTGATAATCAAATTAACGCTATTGTTAACCACTATTTACAAAAAATAAAATAAAATATCCGCATATTTTCACATGAACGCAGCATTGGCTGCAAAAATACCGTAACTTATTGGTGATGGCTTATTGAACTTGCGCGCCAGCACAAGTTCAAGGCGACAATTAATTTAAGCTCGCAAAGTACACGCTACGGCAGCCGGTTATCTTCTCTTTTTTCTGCGCTTCGGCCTTCATACAGCTAGCGGTTATAAAAATTAAAGAAATATGCATTTGCCACATCTTGCGGCCGAAGACAAAATAAAAATAGAAGAAAAGACAAAGAAATAAAATGAAATCAAATAAAATAAAATAAAATAAAATAAAATAAAATAAAATAAAATAAAATAAAATTAAATTAAATTAAATTAAATAAAAAAATAAATAAAATAAATGAAATCAAACAAAATAAATAAAATAAAACAAACATAAAACATCGAAATATATCAATCCCTAGTTCCAGTGAGAAATAAAAAGCTCCTCATAAAACTCCATCAGCCATTCAGAGGCATCTTAGAACTGCAGGTCTCGCCATTTGTTGGAACAAACATCAAAACACATACCACAGATTGGAAGAGGAGCTTGTCTACGAAAACCGATTCAGCGGCCATAAAATACAATGAACAGAAAAGTGTAATAAAATATTTTAATTTCATGCGTTTGTGCAGTAGATTTACTGTCAAAATTTACCTAACTGCTAGTCGTGGACATTGCGCTAATAATGATAAAGTATATTAAATTATAGAAAATACACGAAAATACCTAGAAAAGTAATTATAGAGTATTTTTTACGACGTCGCAGGCTGGGTAATTTAATTATGGTGAGTCTCCATAAAATTGTCTAATTAAATTATTGTATTAAAGTACATTGGGATTAAAACAAAGTAAATAAATTCACGAAAATAATGCACGAAATCTAATTTTTTAGCTTTATATGTAGAATTTAAGCACTAATTTATACATATACATATGTATGTATATAATATATCATAATATTTTTATGGCTTCTCATGAGTCAGCTTGTAGAATATTCCACAAAGACTGTCGACATTAATTAAATTTAACAATGGAAACTATATGCTTAAAATACCATTAAACCCAGTGACTGGATATTTAACGATTTTAATGAACAAAAAAATACTTTTGATACATATGTGTATATATATTTGATATTTTCACATATTTTTCAAATCATACAAAATCTAAATTGATTTGTAATAATTTCCCAAATTTAAGATAACTCCAAAGTTAAGCTATTTGGATAACATTCAGACGCTGAAAAATTTCCTTACATCCAATAAATTTCAAATAAATTGACATAAAATCCGCAACGAGCAGACCACATGATACTTTTCGGAGAGTTTCAGTAAGTTTTCATCTCCATTCTGCTTCTCTCATTCACTTTCGGCGAGAACTGAAGCAAACTAAAACTCCTAAGATTGGCTCGGCTAAACAAGTTGAACTCACAGAGCATTTACAGAGTCTCACTTAGTTACAATTTTAATAGTGTTACCAGACATATTTAATACAACCTGAGTACCGATATATTCAATGGAATGATTTTTCCGTCTTGTTGTGAGTCCCCATTAGTAGTTTGTAAGTTGGGTTGCTAAGCACTGGGTCGATTGATCGAGCGCAATTTGGTGTGAAGAAGCTGAAACAACATGGTTTGTTATTGTCATTTGCTAGCTTGCTATATCTGGTTGGCAGTGAAAGCAGAAATTATCTAGGGAACGATATCCGGCTGAATTTAGAGCGGAGCAGTGGCAGATGTAGTGCTTCACCTTCTCCTCCTCGTCTATGTCGCTGCAGGCGCTCAACTCATTCTACTATCATGAATCCCCAAATATTGTCCAGTAATAAGGCAGGTTGTTATGTAGTTATTTATGTATCGATCAATGACCTGTTCTGCTTTTGGACATGCTGGGGAAGGCCGATCTTAGTAGGTATTTTGCATGCCCGCATAGTATGCAGAGCTCAGCGTGGTAAGCATTGTATTCCTTCTTGCTAGTACGATAGTCTTGCAATTTTCTGCGAAATCACTATGTCTAGGGACCCTAACCACGCTCGTTTTGTATGCAACCAAGAGTTTGCTTAAGGTTTTCCTACATCTTATTGCTACCTTCAAAGTGATGTTGCTGTCAAAATATATTTTGTTGAGCTGAGACACTGCGCCCTCCATTATTACTGTTAGTTCAGCTTGAAAGACGCTGCAGGGGTTGCAAGCGAAGCCTCCAGTTTATGTCGCTTTTAAATGAACTCCGCAGCCAACCCTGTCATCGAGTTTTGAACTATCATTGAAGATGGATACTGTTACTTATTTCTCACGGGGAACTTTGTTGAGAAGGTGTTGTTGAAACAGAAAACAGAAGTCAGGTTGTCCACCTCATCCAAAAATGCTAAAGAATTCAGTAGTCGGGCATGCTCTGTGTGGTTTCTCTAAGGCTGGATCGCATTTCGCCTAACGGCGGTGCTGCTTGCTCCTATGGTACTTCACTATATTAATTTTACGAATGACCACAAGTTAAATATTACAGTGAGAAACCAAAGAGTTAGGATATTTTCAATATTTGTAGAGTCAATCCATTATTCACGAATCAAAGCTGGACAACAAGACCATAGCGGAATCCATTCAAAGGGGCATGGAAAAAGCCAGTCCTTTCGGTCAATGGATCATTTTAGTATTATTCAAGCTGGGATTGGGAGTCATACTCATGTTTGTTAATTGCTTAGGTTTAAAGGCACACTTGGGGATGTCCATCCGTATCCAATCGAAAGAACATGCAGCACTACGAGCAAAGAAATCCGTCATAATAAAATCAGAAACGGCAGAAAATTGCTGCAGATCACTTAATGTGGTGGCTAAGCATCTGTGTCTGAGCCTAGTATGGGTACTAAGCAACGAGATTTCGGATAATTTTGCCAGGAAGGGATTCCCTTCCACTATCATCATTGTGGAAGAGCCAAGCAGCCACCTGTAAGCTTACTATAAAAGAGTTCTTCATCGCATATGCGAGTTGGAATAGTCTCATTTGGTGTAATATGACTAGAGCAATATTGCCGACATGGCATACAAAAAAATTATCAAGAGAGTTTATCTCGCTAAAAGGAAAGTGGATATCCAAAATGATGGGTATTCTCATGGAACACCTTCGATTAGGCAGGCATACAGAGAGGCTTGGCGTACTATCAAATGATTTTTATACAGAATGAATAAACTGAAACTATTGTGGCACTTCCGTTGCGAATACTCCACATTTTGGAGGAGTAGACGGAAGTAGAGTAGAGAAGTAGACTGAAGTTTTTAGGGGCGGCTAGCTCCATAGATGGTTTATCTAGTAAGTGGAGGTTATTAGGATCTTCAGTAGGATGGTCAGTAGTGCCCTAAGTGAGCTGCTGTCTAGCAAGGACCTAACTTAGGGGCCTTATGTTTCATTTTGGATTTGTGTATTTTTTTGCTCATTCAATGTTTTTTAACCTGAATTAATTTTAAAAAAATATTAAATATTAATAAATTATTATCAATAAACGTTAACGGTGTTTTCCAGTAATTAAAAATTAAGAATTCCTTTAAAAGCTTTTGTTTCAAGATGCATTTCAATATATTTTTATTTTTTTAAGTAAGCAAATTGATAGTCTCAACTCAACGAAAATAAATTAAGAACAATCTCCTGTGCTCTTAAGCATGCGAATATGCATATATATATACAAATAATATATATGTGCTTCGAAAAAAAAGTATGTCAATAACACTTCAACTGTCTACTAGCCTACATTTACCGTTTGCCTCCTGGCGCCACCTACAACTGAGGCTAGACGACGCAGCGCAGTGGGATAATAGAGAATGTACAATATAAAAATACCAAAATAATATTACAACATATATGAAAAAGCAACAACAAAATAATTGTAATAGGTCGGCATGTACAACCTTAATGCATTCATGTAAAACGTACATACATACATATACAAATAAGTACATGTGTGCATGAAAATAAATAAATATTTATACGAATTTCTATAATAATTTTTTTTGTTCTTGTTTGACGTCACTTTCTTCCTTGCTCGTGTACACCTACTTTGACTTTGTTGAATTCGCATAATTTTCATTTATGTATTTTTCTTATATTTTACTTTTATTTCATGTATACGCCAAAATATTTGCTTAGTTTTTATATGCATATAATTTTTTTGTTTAACGTCTCTCAATTTACTTTCATTTTCACACAGCTGGCTCACCAATATTCTATAGCGCTGCGCCGCGTGGTGTCTGCTCCAATTGCTGTGCGATACGTGAACGAAAAGATATTAAATTTTTACTCTACACAAAGTAAGTATACTTATTTATATACATACATATAAAGATGTATATGTGTATATAGGGTGTAGGTATGTAAGTAAATAGGTTAATGGTGATGCAAGCAGAAATTACTTTTGGCTACGAATAATAGCAATTTCTTTGATTTTGTCCCTACGAAAAACAAAAAAGATAAACAAAATAACGACAAAATTGTGGATATGAATTTTTCATTGAAGTAACAAATAATAATAATAATTAAAGTAATTTGGAAGTGCTTTACACAATAGGTTAGCTTGTTTACTTTTAGGTCTCAAGCAAAAAAAAATGTAGCATACCTTTAGGCGCATTTTCGTTTCCTGGAGTATACCACTTTAAGCAAGAATTCACAAATAATTTATAAATAAAAATCTTTATGTATGGCAAGGTAAACGAAAGCATTTACACTTTTCATAAGCATGGCGATCAGTGATAAAATTTCAAAGAAGTCTAAAAATTCTACATTTCTTCTGTTAATACTTAATAGTCGATCATTACAACAGAGCCTCATAAATCGTAATTTCCAAATGATACATAAATCCAAAGCCTTAACACTTAATAATTGTTTGCAGAAAGTAATTTCTAACAGGGGTTGGTTTCGCACCAAATATATTTTTGTGTTCTGAGAAAAATTTCAAAACCATGCAAAGGAAGAACCTTCAGTTTAGTTCGTTAGTGGAGTATTTCTTTGGGATGGATTTAGTTTTTGAATCATTTTAAAATAACTACAGACCTACGACTTAAGGTTGAAAGACTGGTTGAGGACAATAGCTTAGCTATTAAACAGACCGAAGCTTCTGTGACCTAGAAATTAGTAATAGAATAGATGTTGTTCAACAAAGTATATATTGGAGTAATTTAATGGTGCTAATTAGATATTCTGTTTGGCTGCCGAAACAGTTTTGCGTGCCATTCTGAAGGCCAGTGTTCGAGTTCTGTTTTAATGAACAACCAAAATGATAGAAAATAATTTTTATAATTGCAGTCACCCTTCGATAGGAAATGTAAAGCCCTCCGAGTATATTTCTGACCAAATAAAAACCTATCAGCTACTCCAAGAGGGCTTAGATAAACTGTAGAGCCCTCCATTTGTTGGAAAACAGCAAAAGGCATACCACAAATTCGACGCGGAATTTGGTCGAAAATAGCTTCAGCGATAATGAAGCGCCTCCGGAAGTCTGGCTCATCTGTGGAACTTCTCCCAATTTTCTGAGTGCATAGCAGAAACTTCTAGTTTCTATACTAGAACAATTTTTTCGTGCTCTGCAGCTAAAAAGCTAGAAAGTGAAAATTCTAGTTTTAAACTGGTATTTTTAAGGTGATCTCATACCAGTTTGCTATTGGTAGGTAATTCACCAGAAGCGAGTTGAATTAGCATTCCGTCACTGGTACCACATTACAGAGTTTATTATTTGACACTGTTGTTGTAAGCTTTTTATGTGGCAACGATAACAGAGCGCTTAGGAATTTCTACTGTCAGGCATGAGACACTCGTCTGGAAATTCACTGTAAACATCGACTAGAGGAAGAAGAAAGCAAGCTCTATAACACTGCTAGGAGGCAATTAGTAAGAACTGGAGGTCTTTTTTTCTCCAAGAGGACGCATTGGATATACAGAATTAAAGTGAAAGCTAAATTAACTTGCCGAGTTTTCATAGGTTGGCAGTCCTAGAAAGAATATGCCAAACTGCTGGAAGCTGTTCCATGTGCGGTTCACATCAGCATTTGCCGTTCCTTACGAACTACCCCACGCTCAGAGGTATGCTTAGTGTGTGTCCTATGGTTATTGTAGGTTGGATCTATAGCCGTAAAAGTCTTTGTAAGACTCAAGGCGCCTGGATCGTTCCTCGAATCAAGCGTATGCTTTTCACTGGAGGGGCTTTTTTAGTCGATTACCTCCATGCTGGCGCCAAATAGCTACTTCTCCACTATATCATTTCCCGCAGAGAAGAGAGTAATTGGAGAAAAGGAGCAGTTAACTTCTTCACATCTTCACAGATAGTGGCGGATTTAGGATTATTATCTTTTGCAGTTTTGTTTAGGTCGAAGTAGCTGCTGTTAAGGAGGTGGTGAAAACACTGCTTCTAAGTGCATTTCTGTAAGATGGACTAAGATTTTCTCAGGTAGCTCCTTCCGCGGCTATAAGCTGAATATTACTTACTTAGAGACGATACTATTCTTCCTCTTGAAGGATATATGCGCAGATATTTAGAGGTACCGAGAAGTTACTACACCTATGGGAAGACCTTGATGAGGTGCTATTAACTGCCTTTACAAACGGTACTGTTTTCCGCAACTAAGAATAATTTCAGGTATTAAGAGGCAGTAGAGAGCTCTAACAGTGGTGTTGAGGACACTCTTTCTGTCGATGATTTACACCTCTACTTTTAAGTACCCAAAGAAAGAAAAGGATGTAAGCAATCAAAAACGAGCGCCATAATATTATTTATTTCTGAAGAGCTCCAGCATTCGAAGTGCGAGTCTTAGCTCTACAATCGCTTAATTTTAATAATCGCTAAAATTAATTTGGTCTGAATTTGATTTTGATTTCGGAGAGTGTGTCGTCATTTTATTTTCAAAAATACGCAAAAAAATCTCCAGTTCTTGGCTGTAAGTCATGTAGCATAAGCCCGGTGAGTTTTTCATAGAACTCGGTTTCCATAGAACTCGGTTTCCCAGAGCATCAGATACAAAGCAAAGAAAAACATTTTCAAAATTCACGTAGAAATGAGTATTTAATTTATCCACTTAATCCATTTTGGAAAGAAAATTCACGTTCGTTCAGAAATCTGAAGTCCAGTCTAATTCGAAATTAGTCACAGATGGTCAAGGTACTTCATAATTTGCACTGCGTGCCGAGACCTTCAGTAGAATACCGAAATCTCTCTTTCCAATTCCAACTGCGTCAGAGCTCCTGAAAAACTCTACTAGTTTGAAAATAGCAAAAATTCTTGTTATAACATTGAAGTACTTCTTTCTATACAATTAAATTAGCCATTATTTAATGACGTCAAAACCTTTTTAATCCCTTTTCCATTTATTTTCTTTTCTACAGCAAAAATCCACAAAATCCACAAAGTCTCTACCTGTCCGATGAGCGTCGCTTATCTAAAAGCAATTTCGATTTACAACAACCTTTGGCCTTCTACATTCACGGCTTTTCTGAATCAGCCACCGGTGACAAGCAGAGTAGTCAACAACTGAAAGATGGTAAGTACGGAGGTGGAAGGATGGGGGACGCGGCGAGGTCAGTTGACAGCTCATAGGCAATTGCGCGCTGACATTTTAGCCAACCCAACGGCGATTGCATCCGTCGTTTTCGTTGTCAAATTAAAATCGCATTGAAATTGAATTGCAATCAATAAATGAAAATCGGAATTTTCTGAAAAACAGAAAACTCAAATCCGAAATGAAAACATTAATTACTTTTAAGCGGTGCGCGCAAGGCAGCAAGAGTGAGTGTTATGGCCAATATGATTGACGGCTGATGGTTCTTGGCTATTGGTTTTACTGCTTTCCAGCTCGCCCACTTTTTTCACTCTCCTACATTTTGCAATTTGCTTCCACCTCATTTCCTCAGTCCATTAGCTTGCCGTTAATTTCATTTCGTTTTTCGTTTATTTGCCATATTTTGCAGCCTTTTTGAAATCGTCCAATTACAATGTCATCCTTGTCGATTGGAGTCCCATGACAGTGATGCCTTGGTATACGAATGCTGTTGATAATCTGCCGGTGGCAGCGCGTTTCATCGCACGTTTTTTGCGTTTCCTTGTCGCTAACGGCTATCAAACGCGTCACATACATTTGATTGGTTTCAGTTTGGGCGCCGAGGTGGCGGGCTTTGCCGGCAAGCAGCTGTTGGAGTGGGGCATTGTGCTGCCGCGTATAACCGGTGAGTTAGTGTGTGGGGACTTTGTGTGCGTAAAGTAATTTTTCCCCCAGAAAAATTAGTTATATTTAATGAAGTAGAAAGGCAATATTATTTGAGGAATCTCAATGAATTTAAAGTATAATTGAATTTTCGAATTTTTTCCTAATGAATCTTTAAGAAAAGAGGTTTCGAACACTTATTATTGAAAGTAGAGCAATTAGGATCACAGCTCCCAAAGGAGTGCAAGTGAAAAAGAGAGCCCACATCATCTATATTGGTGAGTGAGGTTCTCTCTAGGGTTAGGTTATAGTGAGCATAAGGTGAGGAGTGTGAGTAATTTGCAGGCTTTCATTGGGAGAGCATAGTTTGAAAGCTGAAAAAAGGCGTGACATATGCTGACTACTGTTAGGAGACGCTCGAAGGGTTCTAGTTTCAAAACGACAAAAACTTCGAAACTATTAATTCCCGAAAAGTAATGATCGAAGTCAATAAAATCTGAGCTGCGTACAGAGACAGTTGCGAAACGGTTCGAAATTTCGACTTTATCCAGCAAAGAAGTAGCGGAGAATGGAACTGGAGGCAACGAATTTGAAATTCCAGCTCTTCAACTAACCTCAGAGCTTATACATTTTTATAATAGCGGTGATCAAATGCAAGGACGCTAAGTGTGTTATACAAAGCGACCATATGTCGTTGGCCTTGGATTCGATACTGGTGGAATAATCCACACCACCTTCTCCGATATGATGGGTCTGAAATAAAGACTATGCGGGAATAACGTGATAGCATCTGTATCTTTAGAAATACGGTAACCTAGAGCAATTATTGCACGAGACGGTGGAATACTGTAAGCTCAGTTGGAATATGGTTGTTGGCTCGGGGGTGAATTTAGAATGGGTATAACTCTGGTCCTCTCTATGGCGAATGCTTAGAAGCAATGAAAACGATGACTTCGGCTTACTGACATATTTTGCTTCCCTTCATTGAGGTGCTAGCTGAATTTTATATAAATTGGAACAGCTCCAAATGGCAGTAGGCACAGATGGATTTAATTCTTTTATAACTTTTAGAAACGGTGATCAGTAAGCGGTGACAGACTGGGTCGGTAAATGCCTAGGAACTAAGAAAACTTAATTTTGGGCTTGAGTAGTGCCAAAATGACGGTAGCGTAGACTGAGATGGATTTCATTCTTTCATAATTCTTGGAAAACGGTGGTCATGAGGAATTATATTCTGAGTCGGAAAGGACCTAGGAACTAGGAAAGCTCAAACTCGAGCTTAAATAGTTCCAAAATGACCGTAGCGTAGGCTCAGATGGACTTCATTATTTTATTATTCTTAGAAAGTGCTGACTAAGAGCAATTATAGTCTGAGTCGGAAAGGACCTAGAAACTTAGAAAACTCAAAATCAGACTAGCATAGTTCTAGAATGAATCGATCCTTTCAGATATCATAGATCGGTTCAAAAAATTTTTGACGGTGATGTCCTCGGAACGAGGTTGCACAACACGACACTTGATTGAAGTGGTAGCTAGAGTGACTGCCAATATGAATTGCTACGAAGTGGCGGTAGTCCCCAACCAAATTGGGTTTTTTGTTTTATCTTCTGGAATGAGATAAATAAAAACAATTATAGTCCGAACCTGGAAGGACTTCAAAGGTATGGAATCGGGCACATATTAGGAGTAACCCAAGGTTAAGCTTAGCTAACTTGATAGGTAGTTCCAAATGGACTTTAAAGATTTTATAATTTATTAAAAGTGAGGACAAGCAGATCCTATAGTCCAAGACCGGACGATTTGAGAAGGTTGGGTAGAAGCAGTTATCGATGCGGGAACATTAACGTATTCAGACTAGATTAGGTTCACTGTCATGATCTTGGAAGCCTAATAACTCAGATTGGTTTCCGAAACGTCCATGTGTTTGGAACGATAATAACTTTGCACTTGGGAGAAGGGGAATTAGAAGTGATAAGAATCAGGAAACAAAAATATCTAAAAGCGAGATTTTTCATCAATCCATTTTAATGAGGTGAAAGGCTGGGTTCCCAGTAGCCTTAGAACTATAATAGTTCTAGAAAAAGCTGTTCTTGTTTGGACAGCAGAAGTTTAAGCGGATAGTAATTCTTTTTTGAGAGGTAAGATTGATTTATTGATAATGAAGCAGCAAAGACGCTATCAGGAATCTTTCAGAAAATGCTTACGTTAACTCATTTTGTTTATAAAGGTCCCAAACTATTCAAAAAGGTATCGAAAGCTGGGAACCAAATAAGTTTTCCTTCACATTTTTCACTTCAATTCTCATTCATTTCTCTTCAGGTCTCGATCCACCGCTGCCACTCTTCGAATCGAATAGCGGTAATCGTCATTTAACACAGACCGATGCACGTTTTGTCGACGTAATACACACTGACGGCGGTATACTTGGTAATCCGGAGGCAATGGGTCATGCAGACTTTTATCCGAATGGTGGCAGAGCTCTACAGCCGGGCTGCGCGAGGCAGGAGATAGCCAATAATCGTTGGTTGAATATTTTAAGTGCGTAAAAATATGAGAAGCTTCGAGTTTTTTTTATATTTTCTTCCATTTTGCAGTTGGTTGCAGTCATCAGCGTGCTTGGGAGTATTTCGTTGAGTCGATAAATAATCCATACGCCTTTCCGGTGGATAAATGTGAGCCGACAAATGAATTTGGACGTTGTAAGGAAGGCAATGGTGGAGCGTTTATGGGCATGGCGGCGGATAGAAGGTGGGTGAGATGTTTAGTAGTTAAAAATATTTCAGCAAGTGTACAAGAGCTGGGCTAAAGGGTCTCCTTATGCATCTCTTTAACAACTTTATGAGGCTCGGTGGGGTTTTCTAACCGCTGGAGTATAAAACTAGGGCAAGCTCAGTTCGGCCAACTCAATTCAGATGTTCACATCTTTTAGGATTTGAAAGCTTAGATGGACAAAAACCGGGTAGTAGTTTAAAACCAATTAGGAGCTTTCGGTACTCAGTTGGAGTTTCCAATAAATACTCTTTTGCCAGACGAACAATGTTTGATGCAGAAATCTGCGTGCTTCCAATACAAATCCTAAAGTTGGTAGAACCGGGAAAGACTTCAGTAGGAAAATACAGCTAAAAGCAGACAAAATTCGGATTACACGCACTTCTTTCGGTGCGATCGAGCTGATTTGTATGACTCCTATACTTGATACTTGTACTCCAGAACCCATTTTATTGAAAACCTAAGAACTTTGAATCGACCATGAACTGACTAGAAAGCAAAGCATTAGCTGATAAAATTACAACAACAACACCCTCTTTGCTGACATCTTCAAGTCACAGTAAAGATGCCTTAAATGGCTTCTCCTGTCAATACTGAAGATCACGTCTTTCCGGCAGGTATTCTGACTCGTCATGACTAATCTTTTCATGTGTCTCACTCCAAGAAGATGTGTCGGGGATCCGTGAAATTATGAGCAGGAGAAAAATGATAGAGCTCTTAATTTTTTCTCTTACCAACTTTGATAAATATTATTTTAACTTGCATTAAAGTCCTTTAAGCTCCCTTACGATGTTGTCAGCTGGCTGCCAAATCACTGCCTAAGAATTCCCACAATAAATGCGCATTTTTCTTTGATCTCCTGCTTCGGCTTCCATCTTCCAGCCCTTCATTTCATTTATATATAAACTTTCACAATACATGTAAACTAATACCTTTTTGGGGCTCGGCCGCTCGGCCTCTCTGGCCTGCCCTGCCTCCCTGTCTCATTCACAGATTGCGTGGTAAATTCTTTTTGGATACAAATGATGCGCCACCCTTTGGACGTAATGCCGAAGCGTCGGTGGCTGCAACACAAAGCGCTGCAACAACAGCAACTAGAACCGTTATAGAGTCGGCTGCCTTACCCATGTTGCCAGCTGTCGAGAAAATTAATGGCACTCGAGGCTATGACGACGGCAATACCTTAAGGGAAACAAGGCATACAAAAGCGGCGACAAGATTATCATCAACAGTGGCGAAGGCGACAACAACTAAAGCAAACACAGCAACAATAAAATCGAGAATGTAAAAAGAAATTGAAGCCAAAACAAAAGAACAGCAGCAGCGTAGGCTGAGACGTAGATGTGCCAACTGTTGTGCAAAATCTTAGACAGCTGGCCAGTTGCTGGCCGGCCGTCGGTGGGGGTGATGTAGCGGTATGCTGTCGACGCGGGCAAGGCTATTTGTAGGCGCAGCTGTTGCAACGCAGCGCAAAACATCTTAGTGTCCAAAGTGAGTTTTGTGGAGGTTTACTGTTAATGCTCGGCGCGCGGTCAAATAATGCGGCAGAGGCGTGAAATCACTTTGTACTCATAGTATGTATATTTAGATGTGTGTAAGTGTTGTCAAAGGGATTAAGTGGAAGCAGTGAATAAGAGAAGCATGTAGTAAGCGCTAGTTTACGATATCTAGGTTTACTTATAGTTTTAGTTGTAGCTTTAGTTCTCAAGGCGCTTTCGTGGTTTCAGGCGTTGATGCAGAAAATATAAATTGCTGCAATTTTCTGCAGCGCACAAATATTTAAGTTAACACTTTTCAATTCAGTTGATGGAAAAAAAAAAACTTAATTTCGTCAGTAATTGAAGACGGTGAATGATGACGACACTCCAGCGGTGGGAGAGCGGCAGAGTATGGTGGTGAAGAGAGTGTGATGGTGGGTTAGAGGAGAAAAGTCTTAAGTTAGGCGGAGCTTAATTTTTATGTATAAAAAATCATAAGCATTAAAGATAAGAGCATAAGTATTGTAATATTAGAAATAATTGGTAAAACTAAACAAATTTTTAACAAAATTTATTATAGCTCTAAAAATATCCAGTTATAATGCCAAATATTGAATAATTATAAGCATAAATGTAGTAAATATAATTTACATTGCCATGAATAAATATTAAGTGAAATGAAACTGAAAAATAATATTTAAACCTTTTGTGAACCATCAACCATATCTATTGTAGTACTCTATGCGACGTTGCCATTTTTCAGTTTATCTCATTATATGTGTGTCTATGCGACGTTGCCATTTTTCAGTTCATCTCATTATATATGGGTTGTTGTGATAGAAATATGCAAGCAACTCGTTCAGATGCTTGTGTCAATGCTTATACCTTTTCCATTTCTTACAACGTTGTCTATTTTCTACTAATTAAATTGGTATTCTGATTTTTCAATTTTTATGCAGACAATGTCTTTCGGACAAAACTTTTATTACTATAATTTAGCTTAAGAAAATTTAAGTAGTGGTTAGAGTTTTTATTAATATAATTTTTTTTTCTATTTTTTTTTTATTTCTAATACTTCATCCAACGTTGCCAATTTGCAGCTGGTACCATTTCTTTTTTTTCGTTTTAATTGTATGAGAAATGTCTTCTTACTTAATATTCAATCATATATACCTTAAGTAGAAAAAAAAACTGGTTTTTATATTGAAAACAAGATTGTAAATTTTCATTTATAGATTATGAACAGGGATTATTTTGTTCGTAAGCAACGTTGTCAATTTTCACACTTTTATCTTAACATCCAGTTTTTTTCTTATTGGGGACGTAGTTGATATTTTACAAAACATTTTTAATTTCAATCTAATCCTTTCTATTTTCTACTGTATCCCATGTTGGCAAATTTTCGCTTTGCTACATTAGCATTCTGCTGTCTTGAGAAATTATCAAATGCAGCATTTTATTTGCCAGTATTAAATGGTAGCTTCACTCAAGAAGGTACAAAGCTACCAATCCTTTTCAGTTTCCCACTCTGTACAATTTTTGAGTTAACGCATTGCATATTTACTTTGGTTTACTGGATAAAAAACATATTAATTAAATTTTCATTTATGATTTTTTTTACTTAAACTTTTATTTTTCTCAAAAGAGTATTAATTATCCATTTTAACATACTCCAAAACGTTTTCTTTTGTTGTATTAGCAATCTGTTCAATTGTTTGGTGCAAAAGAGAAATATTTTTTTATAAAATATTGTTACCTATACACATTTCAAGAAAATATGGTTCTACAATTGTTCTGTTCTTATATAATACTACATGCAATGTTGCCAGATTTCTACTTTTTTTGGTGATTTTTCTAGGTATAATTGCCTAGAACTGCATTTTATGCTTACCTACGGTTTAAATTAAAAACAGCGAATTACTATCGCACTTTATTCAATGTTGCCAATTTTCACCGTACTTTGCTTTTCGAAATTCGAATTATGGTATTAAATATTGTTTCTTAGTTAACATATTTACATACTGACATTAGCATGAAAGAACTCTTTGCGTTTTGCTCTTACTACTTCTTAGTACAACGTTGTCAATTTTCACCTAAATAGCAGTAGTGCCCTACTCTTTCCATTAGTACGAGCTTTTTTTAATTCTTTCACCTCAAACTTTAATATAAAATAAATGATTTTTTTGAACGACAAGCCACGTTGCCATTTTTCTCCTTTTTCGTTTAACGTTTATCTCTTTAATAGTTATTTGAGATGTTTTCAAAGTAATTTTATAAAGGTTTTAACAGGTTAATTCTCCTTATTGGACACAGCGTTGCCATTCTTGCCCTTATTATTGTCTTTAGGTAGTTCGAGCAGTATTTAGCATTTAATAAGTAATTTTAACTCAAGGTGTAAAATAGTAATATTCTTGTTTTTCATAGAATGCAACGTTGACATTTTTCAACTTTTTTGGTAGGTGTTTTTTATACTTAAAGCTTTAAATTATCTTACTAGAAAAGTATCTTACTTAAAAAATCTTCATGAAATATATTTTATTGATAAAAAGCTATTCTTTGGCATTTGGCTATGTTGCCAATTTTCCTCCTAATGACCTGAAGTCTGACTTTTATGATTTGTGTGTGATTTCGCATGAAACTTTTTCACTTGCTAACTGCGCCACATTTTTAAAAGTTTAAACTATACATTAAAGGGTTAATACATTGTTCTAAGACAGAATTTTTTATTTCTCATTTACTGATTTTTTCGTTTTCGATATTGCGAACGTTCAATTGAAGAAATGAATGTAGAGATATGAGGACTAGGTTTCTTTCGTCAGCTAATCTCTGTTTGTTCTCTTAGGCTTGGAATAGACTCTTTCTTGCTTGAAGCAAAAGTTTAGAGCAAAGTAGATTCGTTCTTTTAGGTTTCTAATACGTTTTGAGCGAATTGTCTGCGAAGGAATTGTTCGTAAGTTTAGAGAAATTTTTATCTTGTTAATCAAGCAAAAGATTAAATAATAGCGCGATCAGATTTCAGACTTGACTCTGATTCTGGCTAAGAAATTATTTAAAGTTGTTGCAGCCACCTGCACCGATCAACTAAGATCTTTTATAAGAAGCTTTTCATATCATGTGAGAAAAACACTCGGAGGGCTTTACATTTTCTGCCTCAGTGGCAGTGGCTTTTGGAAAAATAATTTTCCATAGTTGTGAAGATTTGTCGAACCAGATCTCGAACGATGGCCAGCCGTGTGTTAGTGTGCCATGAAATCACCGGGCTGCTATAGCCGCTGAAGTTATGAAGTTGTATGCTTTATGAGTAGATATATGTATGTACTTGTTTTTTTGTGATTTACTTTCATAGATTTCTTAAAATATTTAGAATTTTTATGCAATTTCTTACCTATGCAGGCTGATAACAGTTGACACCAGTCACTGCAGGTGTAATAAATTTTGAAAATGTACAAAACCGAAACTAAATTTTATTTCATTGGTAGCATTAAATCAAAATGAAGAGACATTTGAGCTCAAGTGATATGTACAGGGCTACACAAATGAACTTATTCAGTGCTAAAATTTACACATTCCAGCTTTTGAAGAGTTTTGAATGTACGATTAACTGAATCACCTTGTAAGTGTATCGAGCTTCCTAAATTGCTTGACAATAAATTTCCAAAGGTATTTATATGTCACATATTCAAACAATAAAGTGAGAGGTAAAAAAAGTTAACAATAAAACTGAGTAATAATAAACGGTGTTAGCCAGCTAAATCAAAACAAAATATTTTCAACGCTCAAAAAGTGCTTGAAATGAGTTAAATAACTCAAACAAATATGTCTGTAATGCGGCCGAGGAGGCAAAGCAAAAAAGATAAACTATAAAAAATACTTGTAAATATATGCCGATTCAAGAAATAGCCAGTCCAGCCAACTGTTCAAGCCTAAAACGGAAACGCCGAAAAATACCACACACGGTAGACATAACTGTGCACTTAAGACAAAGGAGCAACACTACTTGTGCTGCTACACGAATAGTTTACAAGGAAGTAGTGCTAAAAAGCACAAAATAATTCTAAGATACAAAAAAAAAAAATTATAATAAAAGCAGGAAAATAAGCAGGCCAGTATGAAAATATGAAAAAAGGTGCGCCTTGCGCCACATTCACAGGTCAGCTGGTTTTTTATTTGCTACTATGAATTTAAGCCCTGAAAGTTTAGTCACTTTCTTACGCTTGCTTATTTTATTTATTTTTTATATTTTTTCAAGATATATTCTTGTTATTGCTGTTTGGTTTCAGTACTTTTTTTGGTTTAAATACTGCTGCAGCCACTTTTATGGTTAGTCGACACGTAATTTTTTGAAGGCTTTCATAATTTTTGTATTGAAAAATATTTTGAGCGAAGAATTTTTAAAATAAAAATATAAAATATGTTTTATATACATATATGTATAAAAGAAATGAAAGTGTTTTAGCTACTAATAGATATTTTATTATGAAATAAACTGATTTAGACACACCGGTGCGTATACGTAACATAAAATATTTTCATTTAAAATTAAATAAAACTCTGAAACATATTCCTACAATGCAATCAGCTAAAACTTTATTCAATATAATAAACATATTAAAGTCCGAAGGCTATAATTCAATTTCATTTAAGAATTCGTGGGAAAATATAATTTGCTGCACAAAAAATCGACATCGGTCATTTGTACTTGGTAGGCACATAAATGCCAATTAGCCTCGTTTTATATTGTAGCCATTGAATTATTTATGAACTCTGTCCGCTTAGTACGGCATTTATATGCAGACTTATGCTAGCCTTATGCCTAGTGAACTAAACTTCTTACTCGCGCACAACCCTTACTGTGGTTATATACGACTCACTTCTTCGCTTTCCACCTCTGAAAATCTCTAAGTCCTACCAATGCACTGACAATTCATTTGGTCATACGCATTACATAACTAAATATCAAAGTCAAATAGAATTATTAGATGTAATTATTAACAACAACAAAAACGTTATTACTCCAACTTAATTGAAAGTACAAAGAAACAATGAATGAAAGAGTGTAATTGGGTGAAAGAGACAGCAGAATGGGAAAGTAATATTTATGTGTGTGCAATTATGAGTGAACAATAAATATCATTATGTAGCATAATAAGTGCACTTAAAGTGACCTATAAATTACTCAAATGTCTCATACATACTTATACACAATTATTTATTTACATTAGTATACACTTAAGTACGAGCATGTCTGAGGAGTGCAATGGCAAGAAGAAAGGGCAGAAGCAGTAGCAGTAGCAGCGTAAGTAGCGCACTCAACAACTTGGCTAGCACTTAGAAATGTATGAACGTGTGAATAACTGAATGAGCGTATGAATTTGTGAAATGAATGATTTGTTGGTAAGCATTTTCTACTACATATATATGTATGATAAATATATAAACCCAACAAAGAACGAAGTCAGATTTTTAAGCTTTGATAAAATTGTGGAAAAATCAGGATTATTTAGTTCGTATGTGGATTCATCTCAGATTGATCCCAGATAAAATTAAAAAAAGTTTAATTTTCAACTTGAAAACTAAAGCCAAATCTAAAAGCGGTCTATTCAATTTTGATTAAAATATTTGAACCCTTGCTGTTCTGAAAATTAAAACAATAAC